CCCAGGATAGTTATCCTTCGAGTTTCCATCGTGTCACGCGAAATCGATTCGGTCCATTTCTCGCGTCTATTTTTCCGCGTAAACGTACAATTCAATGTGTAGACTTTGGGCGCGTGTGTGCTCTGTCGTTTTGCTAAAACTAGTCGTAGACACGAGTATCTTCAGGAGGTATTCTGAAGGATGTGCGATCGGATACCCGTTATATTCGTCCAAGAGAACTGACCAAGCGCCGACACCCTTGCCCCGTTTCTTGGAGATCGATTTGTGAGTACAACGACCCCAAGAAAAACAGAGACCAATGTGCTACATAATTGCCATGGTAATGTAGTTCATGCGATGAGATCGTTTGCATTATTGAACTCGCCCACTCACACGGATTTCTCGCCGATAGTTGTGATCGTGGATTTTTATTGTTCCGATTGTTCCGATTGTTGTGATTTCCATTGCAACAATGAACGTTTAATTGCAAAGTTACACAATGTGAGCATATCTCATAGTACAGGATTTTTAATTTTAGCAACATCAAATTCTGAATTATAACATAACGAATCAAAAGTGGGTTAATTGGATTCACACGTTAAAAACACGTTAATAAATAAAATTGATGGTGAGCTGAAAATAAATATTATCTATGCTTTAAGAACTGATTTACTATATATATTTATTATATTTATAAATATATAAATCTGTCATTTATTTTACTCAAAAACTATAAATGCATTGACAATTTTAAACTTGTCATATTATTTGTAGAGAAATTTATAATTAGCAAGAATTAAAATGTTTTAATGGAAAAGATATAAGTGGGAAGTTTTTAATTGTTTTTTAGTCTTACTAAAAAGTTAATGTGTTTAAAATGTTTTAACAATAGATAAAACTTAAAATGGAACAGAACAACATCAAAAACTAATTCAAAAATAGCAATATGGAACTACTTTCGCGAACATATGCAACGTCTGGCTACTTTTACGACGAATGGCGATATGTGCTCGCTTATTTCTAGGATTTCCGGTTTGTATAGTGTGAGTAAATGGATATCGCAATCTGACCCTACGTATCTGAAGTTACTCCCTGAATGCCGGAAAGAGTCGATATCGGCGATTCTCCGTGCTTACATACACTGCTTGAAATCAGATCGTGAAAATTGCATTTCTTTGGTCGATGAAACACTGTTCATTGGAACACTGTCCGCCTGCTGTGATTACAGTCCCTGATAAAATCTACTAATGCTATTTTCTGATTGCTTAGCTCAGCGGCAATCGTACCATTTACACAGCTGATACATAGCTTACAAAAGATACACAAGCAATCTCGCAATTACGTTAAAGAAAACAAAGAAACTTTGAAAATTCTCTATATTTTATCTAATACTGACTTTGTCTCAAAAATTAAAAAAAAATTATTTGTCTAATATTGTTATAATGCAAAATGCAGATATATATATATATATATATAAATTTATAGAGTAATGCGTCGTGTAAAAAATGGGAAAAGATATTCTGCAGTTTTAAATACTTTTGTTATATTGATTTTAATAATTAAAATGACTTACAAAAGTATTTCTTATATAATTATATTTTAAATACAATTAGTCTAATAATGTAGTTTGTAAAGTCACTAAATTAAATATAAACAATGTTTGTATACACGATGAAAATCCAAATGGTCATCATCGTTACTGTTTCTGTCAAATAATATTTGCGGATTTCCTGATTAAACATTGCGGATCATTTATCTCAACTGCGAGGTAGACTAGTGGTTTTCATGTTGAAAGTGTATTTACTGCGTTGCAAGGAACGTAAGGTTTGCTCAATCGTTAATAGGATCTCGTCTTAAGAAGGGCTTCTGTTAAACTTCAAACGTCCATATTTCTTTCCCCTTCTTTGATTTTCAATCTTTCGCTCGTGTTATAGCTTGATGAAATGTTTATGTAATATTTATAACATCCTTCACTTGAGAATTATTTGAGTAATTATCACGTCCAGTTATATTTCAAGTGCGGTCCTTGAATTTATTATTGAATGTCTGCGAATAATACTCGGTTTTTTATTAGTCGATTTAATAATAAAATTAATAGGAATTTTTTAGCATTTGCTGTAAATTTTATACGCATTTTAACGAGAATCTGACGCCGAACGATGTGCTAAGCATTTAAACAGCATTTGTTCTTAGCGATGTTACGAGCATTTAACACACTATATACGATATTTATAGTGTATATGCATCGAACGTGTGCACGCTCTTGACAATATTGCCCATTCTTTCATTATTTTATCGAGTTTTATTCGCGATATATCACGCCATAAATGTCTTATGAATTTTAATAAAAAGTGATCGACATGTCAAAAACATTAATTAAAAAGCATCTGATTGTTTTTTAACAGGAATTTAATTGAATTTACAGTTATACAGCTTTTGGTGTAGAAAATTAAAAAGGATTTGACAAGTAAAATTTTGAACATATAAATATTAACAATAAGTAGCCTTAATGATTGTCGATTTTATGAGCGCATTTAAAATGTCATTATTAATTTATAGTATTAAAAAGCAAATATGTTTGGAGTAAATAAATATAACAAATATTTACTGAAAGAGGAATATTAAATTAATGAAATAAATACTAATATAATAAATATATTGACGTGAACTGCATGGGACATATAATGGACTTCTCGATGTATCATCGATGATGTCAAAGACTTTGCAAGCAAATAGTAAAATTCGACCATAATAAGAATAGGTTAGGCAGAGATCATGGATGATTAATGGAGAAAATGACGTCACGCATGCAATGCGATCCTCTGCCTCCGCATCTCACCTTCCCCTCCCTCACCCCTTCCATGATGTCGCATAGCACTGATTCCACACACGCCAAATCAGGTCAATCGGTAGTATTGAACGCATTGGTTTCCATAGGAATTGGAGAACATTCGTTTACTAATGCTTCTCTTCTCTCGTTACACGTACGCACCGATGTGAACCTAGCGCCCAACTTTATGAAAAATAAAAATTAATACCGTAACGCGTTTGTACTTCCTTTGTACCTGTTTGTACCGATCATTATTTCGTTTGTACCTTAAACAGAAAGTGAAAAATAAAAAATGGCCATCGCGCAACTTTAAGATTTTTGAATTTCATTTATGCCAATCGAAAAAGAATCGTTTGTACCTCTTTTATTTTTGTTTGTACCTCAAAGGGTTCGGAGACGTGTTTCAAAATTTCGAAAATACCAAAAGATTAAGTCGGCCTCTCTCTGGGCCCTTTGAGATACAAACGAAAGTAAGAGAGGTACAAACGAGTACAAACGATTCTTTTTCGAATGGCATAAATGAAATTAAAAAACCTTAAAGTTGCGCGTTGGCCATTTTTTATTTTCCTTTTTGTTTAACTGTTTGAGATACAAACAAAATAATGATCGGTACAAACAAAATGATGATCAGTACAAACGAAGTACAAACGCGCTACTATCTTAATTTTTACTTTTGATGACGTTGGGCGCCAGGTTCACATCGGTCACGTACGCAGATCGTTGCATGATCCTCTCATGCAATTGAAGATTTTGATAAAAATTTTCGTAAAAATTTTTATAAATATCTTTTTTTTTTTACAAAAAGTCGTTTTTTGTCAATTAATTATATCTCTTGATTATTTTAAATTATAGATCATTTTAAATTGTATTGCGACAGATTATGTAATGTGCCGCAATCTTCAGTAGGGATTAAATTTAATGTGGCTTATACATTTATATATAAATGTAAAAACTTACATCATTGCCATAAAACGAATAGGATAATAGACTACGTTTTATAAACTCGAAAACTAGATTAATTGATTTTTTCTACTTTAACGTATTTTCATTCATGGATCGAATTTTTCTTACTTTTTAAACTACTGCTTTCTACCATTTATTTTTAATTTTTAATTTACTATTGTTTACCACTTACTTTCTATTTTTTATCATTTAGATTGAAAAGAAATACAGGATGCTGGAAATAAAAAGCTGTTTTATAAAAGAAAATTCAGGTACTCCAGTTTCTACTCATTTTTTACACACAACGAAAAATATACATTATTTGCAAAAACAAAGTCTCTAAATCCGGATAAAATGAAAACAACCATTTAATCAGTGTGACGGGAGGACGTGTATCGCATATGTAAGGCGCTTTAATCAACAGACAGTGCATCGGTATGCAACATCCGTATTTGTTAATCGCAGTACGCCGGAGGTACAGTTAGAAAGCTTTTCTTTTTTTACGATGTGGCTTTTGTTCACCTACGCGCTGATGTCGCATTGCCGGCGTCATTAACGATGTCTAACGAGCCTAGACCAAAGAGCTTGGGTGGAACAATACCACTCGAAAGTACATCCATATGAGAGTAAATGGTATGACGGAGGCAAGTAACCGCGCGCGTTTCCGGTCATGTGACACGTCTGTCGACGTAGCGACGCGTGCACAAGTGAACTTTCACGGAGACCGTTTGCTTCTTGTTAATATTTTGAGTGCAATTTGTAATTGCCAAGATTGTTTCAAAAACCGCTCTACATCTCTCTGTTCTGAAATTAGAATGTTCGGACAGCTATATATAAACCGTCTTTAATAAATTAGATGACTTTCAAGCTAAAAATATTAATTTTGATACGCGAAATATAATTATTTTTTTACTTGATAGCAATTATAATTATCACAAAAGTTATTATCGTCAATTCCTATTTTAATTCTCCTAATTTCGAATAAAAGAATACGAAAAAGCGTTATAGGTACTTAATCTTTTATTAACCTTCTCTCTGTACAAATATTTTAAGAAACGTTTCTAAGAAAACTGGAAATTTTTCATTCAGCAATTTTTTATTTATGTTTTTATTAACTTGAAGTGTGTTTTTACTCCTATACACAGAGAGAAGGTTAATAAAAAAATGAACATCACTATATATATATATATATATCACTTAAAATAATTGTATGTGCTGAAATTACAATATGTGCTATTTTGTATTGCAGAAACAAAGCATAATGGTTCGCCAATTAGAAGAGGAGCTTAGAATGAGGATGCGTGGGCCGAGCGTCGAGATGCAGCAACAAATGGAAGTTTTGTATAATGAGAATGAGCATCTGACTCGCGAAATTGCCATACTTCGTGATACGATAAAGGTGAACATTGATGTTTAGATGTCATAGATTATTTTTCAATGCACTTCTTCTAACAACTTTTTTTTTACTGTGTGGTGCAAAATAATTCCCGTATAATGACGGCGCTATAATCCAACGTTTTTCATATAGTTGAATTTTTCCGAGAGAAAATTAATTTCTGGCGGCGCAGTTTACAAGATTAGTTTTAATAAGCGAGACTAGGTCGGTTTTTCACGTCTAACGCCGAATATAATTCAGTCTTAGCCTCGAAATAGAATAGCGCACGCCACCAGGAAGATTGGAACGTTGCTGGAATAATCGCGCCGAAGGGGGATCCTATTATAACTCGGGAATAATAGGGATAAGTGAGGTAAATGGAAGTAAAATGGAGGAGATTCTTCAGAAGGTCGATGCGTGAAAGAGCCGCGCAAACGCCTCCTAGACCGTCTTTCTCTTATTTTTCTTGTTTTCTCCTTTCTCGCCGACAGCCTCGAGAGTTTTCCTGACATTTGTGAAAATTTTCGCGCCAGGTATATTGGACTTTGCGCTATCTTCCAATCTCCTGACACCGCTGCGGACGTTTGTCACGTACCCAACATTCCGAACGTAGATATTCAAGAGAAATACTGACTTGTCCAATTTTTTCCTCTTGAATATTCTGAAAACTTTATTGACTTAATTTATTTCATTTAATTGATAATGCTTCTATTGATAAAATTAAATGTATAAAGTTTACTTTTTTTTTTGTATCAAAACAATGTAAATGTAACACAAGGGTATATGAGCCAGATTATAGTTGCTAATCATAACGTAATCATATTTCAGATAAAATAAAACATACGTTTTGACCAAACAATTAGATCATTATCAATGTTGTTCGGGTAAATATAACAATAGTTACGTCCTAATGGTTATATATTTGCAAGTTGAACGATTTATATTCCAACGGCTATAATTACATACAATTAATTTAGTTAAATAAAATAAAAACACAATATGCAATTTAACATACGAAACCTGCATGTTCTTTCTATTTTCATAAATGTCAGTCGGTATAGAATATATAATTGAAAGAGAGGTCGCACAATTAGCTTGCAATTCAAAAAGGACTAGCACATTGCAATAGTCATTTGTTCATGATGTTTTCATAAGATACCTTTACAAAATAAAAGATAGAAGTATAAATTAGTGTGAACTCTTATAAGTATATATTACATAATAAACGATAAAAGTGTAAAAAGTTCTTATGAAATCTATAAGTATATAGTGAAATTATTTTATTATAAAAACTATGTCGTGTTCAATAAAATTGCAGTAAGAAAGAGTTCAAAAAACTTCCATTGATTTTGTACATTTCAGTATATGTACATATATTATAATTTTAAAGTAAAATGATTTAACAGCAATTTTTATAACAAGTAATCGATAATTGCAATCTTCTCTATTCGATGATAGTTTATATCGTAACGGTTTCTTTTGTTAATAACACATTATCATTTTGTAGAAATTTTACCGAATCTGGAGAAGATAACTTTGATGTAAAATCTGTTTGTGTTTGTCGTGAAAGCACGCGATCATAAATAAAATAATCATACGTTTGCAAAATAATCCGTTCGGCGGTATGTGCCGTGGTTTATTGGCTTCTCGTACGCTATACGGCTCTGTGCTCGCAGACCCGAAATAGACGAGGGGTTTAGGTCGCCTTCGAGGTAAACGACCGATTGTCTGCACGATCCAGAAACCTCCGGAAATCTTGGCAGCAACGTGAATATCAACCTCGTCGCAATAAATTCGTTATGTTCACCACTTATGGCGTCGAAAAACAAGCGTTGCTGCGTATAAGGCTGCGTGTAATGTCGAATCGATATATAAGCAGACACGCAATGGGAGTGTCACGTTCCACTTGTTTAAAAGCAGTATGATAGATATGAATCTTTTTTAGAAAACATTGTTTACATGAAAGAAATATTTTATTTTTATCGCAAGATAAGTAGTTGATAATAGATGCAAAATCGCGTACGTAATAAGTTAAAGGAAAAGTTGTCTCGGAGATATTTCTTCAGAAAATAATCTAATCTCGCGCAAGAAGCGTAGTAATATTTGCTCGTAAGTATGACCGAAATGTCGCAGACAGGTCAAACGGGAAGCAACTGGTCGCCTTTGGCCATTCGCCAGTTTATGCACTCGGTTTCTCGTGTCTCTATAAATTCTCATTATCGAATCTGATGGCCACAACTTGAAATTTTTTAAAACACAACGTTCTCATTTCATTAACTTTCATAACTTTGAAAGATTCAGTATGTTTTTCTAATGTCATGTGTTATTTATTAGCCAACTTTTATCCTGTAATTTGTGATTTATTATTTAATATATTAATAATTAATAACGTTAGTATATGTATGTGTGTGAAACGTTAATAATTGTTAGTATATGTATGTGAATGACGTTAATAATTTGCAATACGAGGAAAGATATTTATATACATACAGCTTTCGCTGAAATTCGTCGATAATATATTTAACACTTGATTATTTTGACTCAACGTATCCCAAGAGTTTCATCCTCCAAGATTGACTGTAATTACCGGCTCTCCATTAGCAAGAGCTACACCTCTAGCTGTTTTGAGGTCAAACCAGTAATACAGTACATGTGTTTTTTAAAAAGTATTCCAATTAACACATTTACAACTGTGGAAGTTTGCGAAGGTTTTTATTAAGATAGATAATTGAATTAATTATCGAACGTCAGCCGACATCTCGAACGTAACATTCGGGAATTCTCGTATTTTCAGAGTGCATGGTATCTACTCGCAGGTAATATCGCACGCGAGTATTCCTCTCGCACAGCGGGGAAAGCCGGTAGAAGGCCAGCAGCGGGTGTCTAATTCCAGACTAATTACTTTCCCGCCGTCAAAGAGGCGTGCTAAATTCGTTATGCGGGCCCCAAGCGGTGGCATCCATCGTTGACGGCTACTAAAATCAAGCATATTAGACATATAGCTGCCAACGTATAGCTACCATCGGTTATCATAAAAATAATACTATGTAAAATGTGCATGCCGTGACAAAATTCCGTAAAAATATTTTGCGCCATTAACATTTTGTAGTAAAATTCTCATTATCCCCTATTGAAATATTAATCTTCTTTTAAAATGAAGGAGCAGTACATCGACATGATGATAAATTAAATCTCTCTCTATTCGGTTTCGAAGATTAAGTTTAGTGTATTTTTAGAAAAAAGGAATACGTACTTTTATACACAGGAGTTGATATTTAAAGCAATTTTTTAAAGAGAAATTGTGAATAATTCTAAAATTCATCAAAAAATCTATTTCTAAATTATTTTTAAATTGATTTGTATTTAGTATAAAGACGAAAAATTTATAAATAAGCGCCAATATCTTTTTAATGTGCGTGTCATTATATGGTGTGTTGGCTCTCTTTGAGCCTTGTGATTCCGTTCGCAGAGATGCTGAAATAATTTTGTAGGCTTAATATAGTCAGTAACATTTTGAGCTCAACTGAGTTGCCCTATTATCTCTAATGAAGTCTTAATTTAGACTTCACAACCGATTAAGTTTTATGGTGATCTTTTAGCTTGTATTATTAATGTGTTTTTTATGAATTTAAAATGACACAGAAAAATATAATTTATAATATTTTGAAAGCATCTATGTAATATGATAAAATTAAAAAAAAATCAGAAATATTCAAATTACTGTCATTTGATGTAACTCAGAGTTTACGACTTTTTAAAGATTATTAAATTAATGTAAATGTTTAATAAAACAGTAATAAAATAGTAATAATTTGACGTTAAATTGTTAAAAAAAAACAATCTTATTTATTGCAATTTCTTTACTTTTAATTAATCTTGTTGATTTTTCTCTATTACAGGAGCTGGAATTAAGAATAGAAACGCAAAAACAGACGCTGCAGGCTCGTGATGAGAGTATCAAGAAGCTCCTCGAGATGCTCCAGAATAAGGGGATGGGTGAGACATTGCTTGCAATTTTTTAAATTAATTATTTTAATATTAATTAATTATTTTAACACCGCATTTTATGAACAAAAATTTACATGCATGTGTGATCGTAAGATAGATTAAAGGAATCATAAGAATCCATTAGAATCAAATAAAAGACAGACTTAGATTTCATTACAGGAAATCATAATAATATATCATAATGAACTTGAACAACAATAGCTATTCTTTTAATATTTTTTTAATTTTCTTCAATTAAACTCAAGGAGTATAATTACAAATTAGAAAATCGTAATAACACACATAAAAATATTTTTACATTTTAAGTTTAAAGTTTAACTATTGCTCAAATTTTTAATCTACATTTATTTCAAACAAAAATATAGTTTTCTGGCGATACAAGCTCTTATTTAAGTTCTTTTTTTGCATGATCGTTAAGTAATTTTCCCGAATATATACCATGCTTGTAAGTGACTTCATGTAGCAAAAGTACATAGCGCGTTATCAGAATTTAAAATTGCGAATATTTCGTTCGCAAATATACGACGTCTAGTATCGTTCTTCTCTAACGAAGGGAAGACTCAATTTCCTCCGCAATGACATTTTTCGCGCAAATGCCGTCGGTCATCCTCGACGACTACAACGGTTTATCGAATTATCTCGTTAAATCCACGAGCCGCAATTCATCTAAGCAGAGGAATCTGCACTTTGAAACCGTTATTGTGATCTTTATCTTTATAAAAGCAAGACTCATCTTGTGAAATTAACGTATAGTCCAAAAGGATGCTGCAAGAAAATATTAATCTTGTAAATCTTGTTAATTTTACGAAAGAAAGAATACTTTCGAAAGTTAAGAAGACAGCATTTAAATGAACAAAGTTTCAATTCGTGACACGTATTAGAGTAAATTACTATGTTCACGCGCTTGGCATACATAATTAAATGCGCTGCATTGATATAACAACAATTTGCTGTTTAAACTATTTTTACAAATTTGAATATAAGTAATTAATAGAAATAAGGGGAGGGGAAATAAATCTTTTTAATTAATATTATTCTTTATTAATTACAATGAAAATGTTATGTGCATTATTACATTAATTATAATATAAATAATTATAATAGTAATAGAGAGTTAGAGAGATATTAATAAAGATTGCACTCGAGCAAACTGTCGCGATTATTTTACAAACTTCATTTATTCGTTTATACAAACATACATATATATATACACATACAAACACGTCCACAATTGCACACCGACAATCCAAAACCTGGAACCAAACAGTTCCTCCAAGAGTTCCTCGTTACTTTCTACTGTTCTAGGAAAAGAGGAGGAAAGGATCATGTTCCAGCAGATGCAGTCGATGGCCCAGAAGCAGGTCCTTAAGCTATTTCTATCCGTCGCCATACATACTCATAATTATAAATTTATATATATGTATATATACATTATGCATCGCGTACATATATGTATATACATATATATGTGTGTGTATCATTCTCATTTCGATCGACGCTCATTACGCATTTTCAATACGCATATATGTAAATACATTAATAATTTGCTATTTTTATTAGTCTATTTTACACGAATACGTATATACATATATGCGTTAACATTAATCGCTGCCCATTGTTCTGTATCGAGTAGTTGCTTGCAAGTAGCTTGCAGTTATTGCACCGCCAGTGGCTTTACTTTTCGCCCCGTGTGCCGTGCTCACGCTTGAACTTTTGTGTCACCTGAGATCTGAGAAAAGAAAAAAAAAAAAGAGAGGAACAAAACGGACAAAAAAGAAAACGAAACAGGCGAGCGCCAGGGGATGAGTGGAGTTAGCCCTTACAGGGGCGTTCCATTCTCGATTCAGGGACCACAACAGGGTTTTGCGAGCTTTCCCCACCTGCCTCGTGCAACTCTACTTGATCGTTGCTCTCAAAATCGATCGGGTTCTCGCGAGCGACGGAAGGGTTTTCCGTTTTGTGTTCCGCAATACAGGCGAGACTAAGGTACGATATGCACATGCGAGATCGGGGGACGGCGATAGACAACAGCCGATCGAAGCTACTAACCGTGACACATCGGGCAAGAGGACACAAAGGATCTGATCAATCGGGGATCCGATAAGAATACGATCTAAAGATCTTGGGATTCGCGGATGTGTGCAATTATTGAAAGATATAAAAATTTTAGAATGGCGAAACTTAAAAATTTTCACAAAAGATTTATTAAGGAGTCTTTTACAACAAATTCTAAGAAGGCGAGAGTTTTAAGTACACAAAAAAATAAAATAAATATAAAAATTATTAAAGCGTCCGCGAATCCAATGATTATGATAGAGACAAGGAGTCGTACTTTACAAAGATTTCTATCATCCAGAAACTTTCAAAGTGATGTAATATCTCAAGTATAGGTTGTAATAGTTGTTTATCAAAAGAATTGTCTGCTTTGTTGCAACTGAAAATTGAACTAGAATTTAATTTAGCAGCTCTGATTCTTTTTTGTGAGTAATTTTGTATAATTATTTACAATAATGAAGATTCATATATAAAATAGAGTAACACGCGTTCAATACATAGAAAAGGAAATTCGATTTTGGAGTATATGTTACGTATATCTGGAGTATAACTCTCTTTTTGTGATGTAACTTGTGCAATCGAAGCTGTTCGCAGTCAAAATATTTTATGCGTTCCGAGAGCTCGCGATGTTGTATTTATTTCGATTTGACAGCGTTTCTCCTCCTAGAAAAGGAAAATCAAATCAAAAGTAGAAAACCGACGGGATTCACTCAATGACTTTACACATGTACATGTACACGTATACAGACACACACGCACACGTCTTCCAGCATCGCACATATTCGCATTCATGTCGCGCTCAGTGTGCACGCAAAATCGTGGGTTTTACTCTCTCACAAGTATTTTGTACGCGCACTTTCCTTTGCGTCACCACCGCAAGTTTTCAAAAATTCACGCCTACAAACGCGATTCCGTTGTTACATACTTTCGTTGCGAACAAAGGTTGCGGAAATCTTCGAGAAATGCGTCGAGGAAGTGTCAGGAGGAATTTACTGCGACGCTTGTCATTTATCGCGAGTATTGTTTTACCGTTTAGTTCATTTTTATGGAATTTTCGATATCCTACGGCGCCACGCGTGCATTCCGACATACCGTAAACTTATATGACAGGAGTAAACCGCGTGTTACGACAGAATCGAGAATTTATGTCGCCGAGTAATGCCAAAAGGTGGCTATAGCATTTTATCGCAGATTACAGAAAAATCGTAGTTCGGCGAAAATTATACAAAAATTGTATTACACATTCATTTATTTGTTAAAAATTGCCTGTCAAATATAAATACGTGTCGCATTTGAAACAATTACTGATCGTTTCACGTGGAAATTTACACGTCGTCTCTACGTACATTTATCGATTCTTCGTCGACAAAATCGCGAATAGTCAAGGCTTCGCATTAAATCTGATATCCAAGAATGGTCCAGGAATCCGTGAATTTTTGAAGCGTCCCCCCATCGCTTACTTTCACTCAGCAACTGTCGCTGCTCCGCTGTACTGTCACATAGCGAAATGAGCATACTTATTGTTAGACCGTTAGCCTCGTAAAGGAGTTTCTGAGCACCCGAGTATTGCGTGATTACGTTGCCGTTATCATGTTCGCTCTGCCTTTTGCACAGTCCGTGTGTTAGATGGTCTTTAGAGCAGACCTAGATCGTGTATTTTCCGAGATACATTGTCGCGTTTATAGTGCTCTCCTTTCGTTTATAGCCCGTTCTTGGTTTGCGGACACGGAATGCGAAGTCGTTCGGAAAAGCCGCTATTATTTCGCCCGTTGCCGCCAATAAGCTTGTTTCTTTCACGCTTTTTGACCCACTTTTGCCACGAGCCATGTTCGCGTTTCCATTTAGTCACGATGGTCATCTCATACACGTAGCTTTTCATCCGCGCCATTTCTTTACAAAATTCATATATTCCTTGTCTTCCTCTGCAGCTTTGCTGCATTTGTATAATAGCTAACATTTTGCAAAAGCACTCAAAATGTTAATGAGAAATTTGCGTCAAAGGAAATCGTTCAGAAGTTACTCTATTTAATTAAACGGCAAGTTATTCGAGTACTAAATATTGATTTTATATAGACCATGAATTTAATTCCGTAAATTTCAGCGAAATTTAATAAAGTGTATACGTAAATTAGCATTTTATTTAAAAGGGATTTTTATGAAATCAAGAGAAGATAAAGGTATCACTTACAATTATGGTTCTATCGCAATAAATTAGTATTAATTAACGTTTTTCACGAACAACGTGGCATTCATTAACTCGCTCGGTCTCCTTGCACTTTCGTATTCATGCTTGTTAGACTTAGAACTTAGAAGGAGTCTTTGTAGCTTAAGTGGCACTCGAAGTCGGGAACGATTTGATAGAATAAAAAAATTGACAGATCCGTGGCACTTGTACGAGTGCAGTTTTCGAGCACGAATTGATCGGAGTAAGCACGTCAACATTGTCCACCAATCGCACGAGAAGTCATTCACTCCCTCCTCGTTCTTTCTTTCTCTCATTCTGTCACTGAAAAAAATAACACAATGTCAATCTTCACTTATTCTCTCCTTTTCCTCTAAAAACTACTTTGAACAAACTCTTGAGCGATCAGCTGCACCAGCACCAAAGCCTGTCTCGTTGTTCATTGTGACAACTTAGCGGCACGAGCATTGTATCATGTTATCACCAACCCCGATCATGTATTTTGGCCCAATTTGTCTCAACCGATCCCTTGAAATCCTTCTATAAGTTCTTCGTGTTCTGTGCTGGGATTGAAATCGACACAATCTAGGCAAGCTCGGAAAGTTGATGCTAAACACGATTTTGTTTTACAATAACGGAAACGTGACAATTTATATGTATTAGTTTATTACTGAAATTTCTATTTATAGTGCTGATATTTAATTTTATTGAAATTTCAACAATTTTAATCGCTGACTTCAATCTCTTAATTACCTGCTTTCGGATAAAATGTGCGCGACCGAAATGCAGATGTTATCTCGAAATTCTCAACTAAGAATACTCGAAATTCCCGGTGACGATTTAACAGACGCCATGAGCGTGTAGAAGACGTTTTCCGATTAGCTCGAGATAGAGGGGAGCACATTCGACACCGAGGGGAAACTACTCGGTCCAATTTCCTCTCTTTTCACGACAAATTTCTCCGGGCATAAGCCGATCTCGGCGCGACAGGCGGGCTGCAATTAATAGCTGCAATCTCGTTGCACGTAATTAATTGCCGTAATTCAGGTGAAGTCTTCGAAGTAATGTACTTCGGGTATCATTCAAGAAACAAAAGGAAATTAATTTTTTGACTTGGAAAGGAAGGAAATTATTAAGGTGTCTATAATTGAGATATCTGACACGTACACATTAAATTATCTGAAACTACATAATAATTATTTTTACACTTAAATTATATGTTTATATATATAAAAATTCTCTTTTCATATCTTATATATGATTAAGTTTTTAATATAATTAAAATAATTAATGTTACGCTTATATGAAATACTGTAATTTACGTTTATATAATTTTATAATTTCTTATAATTTTTTGCTATTATTAAAATTTTTCACCGTAAAGCAGGTAACTAAAAGTACAAAAAGAATCAGGTAATTATTCGTTAACAATGGAATATGAGTCTTTAAAAAGCATGCAATGAGCATGTGAATAAAAAAACAGGAACACGTAGCTCTATGTATTTTTCCAAATTAGCTCCATATGAAACCACGTGTTCTCCTCTACCTTTCTCTTTGCACCCTACATGTCGAATGGTTCAAGAACGATTCGTCCACGATGTCTCTATTCGATGACCTCGGCAAAATGAGATAATTCATCTAACAATCGTACGTCATGTTATAAACTATCATGTATATACATACATTCTGCAAAAAATAAGAATTTTATTTTGGACTCGCAATGCGTAATGAAGCTAAATTTGTTCCATCAGTCTAATTCGATAGATCGGGCGTTAGATGAATCATCCAATTATACGATACGTCACCGAATCAGCAAATCATGGGACGAATCGTCTGCTGCTACCGTTATTGTCGAACACGAACGGATATAAAGACGCAGACGAGAAAGCAGACGGCCGATCGCAAGGAACGAAGAAACAAACAGTGCGAAGAAAATAAATTCGAGGGGAAATATCGGAAGTAACAATAACAGCTGCGATTGGAATGCGTGGAATGAGCTGCTTTGGATGTGTAGGCGTTAAAATACGTTAGCCACCCTTCCCCTGTTCGCGCGGGGAAATATCACGCCCGCATATCCGCCTATCTCACGTCATTCACTATCCGTCACTAACCACAAGTACAATT